TTGGTTTTTTTTTTTTTTTTTTTTTTTTTTAGTTGTTTTCTTCGGCCGGATTGCGACCTGAAAAGAGCCGCAAATTCTTCACAATGACACACTCATTACATTGTCATCCACAACGTAATAAGAGAAGGTATTGTCCCATATTCCCAACTGTGTATGAGCAAGTGAGCAATTGTGTAAACTTTGTGCGAAGCACTGCGAACTGTTGTGTATCTTTGCAACCAGACCAGCGATTCCAAGCATGTTGTATATATATTTTAAGTAACAAGTAGTATATACCTGCATAGCACAGCGAACGTGTTGGTGCCCCTCCGTGTCGGCGCAAACACAAACAGCTCGCGACCGTGTTCAGGCGATTTTTTTTTTTTTTGCAAAAAAAACGATTTTCTTTTCCGGTTTTTTATTTTTAGCTCACGTTTGGCTAAGAATTTGAACATGATTCCAAGGCAAAAGTTTCTTGTATTGTTGTTTTACATGACATATATTTTTTTCAGAGTTTTCTGAGACTTTGTTTTTTGTTTTGTTTTTTTGTTTTGTTTTGAAAGAGCACCTTTTTATGTTCGAACATGTTACATGTTCGGGTTCGCCTCCAAATGCGAGCACGATGATACACAGGTATATACTATATACCTATTATACGGAATTTATACGGAATTTATACCCACATTTTTGGACTGTGATGCCATGCTTGTTTGAAATTGAAGAAAAATCCTGAATTGCATTATGCAGAAGAGTGAGCGATATTTGGTGGTCGATTGTGACGATATATATATGTATCAGTAAGTTGAACAGAAACGTAGATACATTGAACTATATACACAAAACAAAGGGGCGAAGGCCGGACGACATTATGCAGTTAGCACTTTTTACTTGTACTTTTTGCTCTTGCGGTTACATTTTGTTTTGGTTGAATTGCACCATGCAGTTGCATTATCCTGGCACTTGACACAGTGTTCACACTAAGATGGGATGAACCTGGTCAGATTTACAGCGGAAATTCAGGCCTGCTTAGCATAGACGTGCCAATTGGGCCAGCCTAAAATGTTTCACAGTCCGTTGACACTGTACTGGATGCACGTGGCTCAAATGATGGTTAGGTTCAGTTCAGAAAGTCCTAGTGTCAGGTATACCTTAAAAGTGAGTTTTTACCTTGCCTGCGTATCTGTGGAACTGAAAGTCTGACATTTCCGCTTTTCCTTGTCTCTGTTTTTACCGTCGTCCCCTGGACGTAAACTCCCATCATTTATGGATGCACCTGGGAAAAATGATGGTTGAGTTCACTTCAGAAAGTCCTAGTGTCAGGTATGCCTCAAAATTGAGTTAAAAAAGAAAGTGAGTTTTTACCTTGCCTGACTCGCTATGTAACTGAAAGTCTGACATTTCCACTCTTCGTCCCCACTGCTTTTTCTCTCGTCCAGCTTGTACCCGACTGTCTTCTCTCTCTCTCTCTCTCTCTCTCTCTCTCTCTCTCTCTCTCTCTCTCTCACACACACACACACACACACACACACACACACACACACACACACACACACACACACACTATCACTCCAAAATCAATCCCGCTGACGTACAGGGGTTGCCACTAGTACTTCCTAAAGTTGTGGCTGTTAACAAACAAGCCACAATTTAGGAAACATATGGGCGACTACAGGAGCGCCCACATTCATCCGACTAGAAACACTACAGGAGCGCGCATATTCATCCGACTAGAAACATTTCTACTCTATTTCTTTCTGCGGCCGATAGCTGGGCCAAGTACTGGTGGTTTAAGGGAGGAATCTACGTGGTCAGGGATCTGTGGGACGTCCCGTTGGCAACATAGAAGACAGCTCAGCAGATAAAAAAAGAAGCTACGTGTGTGAAAAATGCTTGAAAAAAACTCTTAAGGAAATCCAGGACGCCTTCCACATGGCATGGATCGGAGCATTAAGGACAGGGCCAACAGCGCAGAAACACGACTACGTTCTTCCAGCCCAACGAAAGCCACAACCAATGACTATCTATCAGGTTGCAAACACATCGGGGGTAGAAGCCCAACTCTTTGGCCTTGGGCCTATTAACAATCTCTACCTAAGAACAGGGGTCTAAAATTACGAGGAATGAAGACGCGCGCCACTCCACTTCATGGTCCAATCTCTCGATAGGGAGGATGATAAGATGGGGTTACACCCGTCTGTCAGCACCCCTTGTTGAACCCCCAAGAATGGGAATGGGCATGGACGCAGGACAAAAAACAATGCCAGTTTGGAGCAATACACAGCGGAAAACGGGTAGTCGAGAACTAAAGGGGTAGCTTTTCAGTAGAGTCACAAAAATGAGTTAAAATTGCACTACTTGGGGCAAGGCCGCAATCCTTGAGGTTCTCCTACCGCCTCAAGGATAGTGGCCTTTGCAGCTTGATGTTTGTTTTCAAAAAAACGAAAGGAAAAAGAAAGCGGAGGATTGGGCCTCTTACTGGTATACGCAGTCTTACTGGTATACGCAGTGAGAGTGAACTGCTTTGACTTTCCACACCCAAAAGAGGGGGTATCGGGGGCTTGTACAAAATTCCAAGTGCCTCGACTAAGGCGATTTTGATTCTGATTTATGGCAAAAAAAAAACAAAAAAAAAACTCAGGGATGTTCCTTAGATGACTTCGTGTCAGGGTTCAAAAAAAAATAAAAATAAAAAATAAAAATTGTCAGCCTCATGAAAGCTATGCTTGCACTGCTCTCGCGTCTAGCCCTAGGAGTAGTGGCAGGTAGGTAGTGAAAGGTGAATTTGAGAGAAAATATAGCAACGAAAAAGAAAAGAATTGCGCCAAAGTAAGTGAACTGCAATCAGACTCGTACTCGTTCACACTTTTCATGCATGTAAACCGCAACGCAGCAAACTGGCGACATGCACCCACTCAAAACTCAGAAATATAGCTTCCAGATACGAGTTCACTCTCAACTGGCTATGGCGACTCAGCGCCCAAACAACTCACTGTTCACATACACTGGATCACCCTGGATATCCCACACGCGTAACTCTGAACACTCACACATACACACACACACACTTCACTCTAACTACAGCTATGGCAGCTATGGCTGCCTCTACCCTATCGCTATGCTAACTCCTCCTCTCTCGCCCACTGCGGCCTCCAGGCTCACTGCAGACCTCCTTGCACAAGTCGCTGTGGCAGCGCTTCCGCATGGCTCACGCAGGAATGAATCAAAGGCTGGGCGCTGCCTCTTGATTTATACTTCGGAAACTCGTTGGTCTGCCCTTTGCCATCGGCCCATGGTGCTCACAGTCCCCCGTGGTACTTGCTGGACCGGACTGGGACTGACTGGACCTTACCGCTGATTGACTGAGGACTCACTGCTATCCTACCGAGGTCGTATTGTGATTGCACTGCAGTTTGGTCCACCACTTGCCTCACCACTTGCCCACTTGCCCACTTGCCGACCTTCTAGAAGGGCTACAGCCAAGCTTCTGGAACTCACTAAGGCTTCTACTCTATAGATCTACAGATCGAACCCCTGCTACCTATGGACCTATAACAGACATACCAACTGTCTACGTATACACAGGTCACAGGTTCCATTCTCGGGGTCTACACAGATACTGTACATGGTGAGGGTGAGGTCTAGGGATCGAGCCCTGGGTACTGCATCTGCTACTGCAAAAAGGTGAAAACCGTTTCAGAACGTGTATTTCAATCCAAGTGCGTACGAGTGATGTTCAGCGTTGGCAGGCCCAGGGCATTGATTAAACCACGAGTACCTTTCCCAGCTATCAAGTCCCACCCTTCGGCTACTGGTATGCCGAGCCTTGCTAAGCCTCGAGCTACTGAAGGCTACCGTTAGCATGAAAGTTGTCGTTTCGAAAAACAAAAAAAAGGAAAAATTATGATAAAATCATAAAAATTATGAATGAGATTTAAAAAAAAAAAAGAAAAACAAAAGAAGGAAAACAACAAAATGAAACGCTAGAGAGATTTATCCGCTTGAAAAAAAATAGAAAGGAGAGAGAGAGAGAGAGAGAGAGAGAGAGAGAGAGAGAGAGAGAGAGAGAGAGAGAGAGAGAGGATATCCCGGCGTGCGGCGCGGTTCAAATCTGTAAAATGGGATTGAATCTTCACGTGCTGTCGGGATATCCCGGCGTGCGCGCTGTTCCTGCCTTCTGCTTGCGCACCGTTTTTTTTGGTTTTCCTTTTCTGTTGCTTTTTTTTTAATCCTTCTTCGCAGTCGGTCGTACGGTGGTGTTGGTCATTCCCTGTACCGACCCCCCGTGTTAACCGGCGAGTATTTGTTTTCCAAGCAGGGAAAGGTGCTCGTGGTTTAAAACCTGCAGTACTGGCCAGCTATTTTTTTCAAGCTGGGCTGTATATGGCTGGGTCGCCGTTGATGAAACCACGGCCATTAAAATGCCCCTGACCCACAAAGGGCGTGGCACCCACCTATGTCTGAACATGGGGCCAAGTACCGGGTGTACCACCAGTACCTCCGAGGCACTTTTCCCTGACCCTGGGGATGGCCTGCGCGCCCAAAAACGAACGGGTGCGGGCCGTTGATGAAAATCATCACCAGCCTCGAAGGCCCCAAAATATTGCGGCGGGTATACGACAAGAGCCTGCGGCCAGAATACTGGGCCAATTACTGGGGCTGATTTTTGCAGTGCGCCAATTCTTGCTGGTACGACACGCTATTTGCCTGGCGACGCAGCCTTTTTAAAAGTTTTTCTTCTTTTTTCTGTTTTCTTTTCATAAAGCCCAGGTTGTTGTAGGGGTCGGATTCTGGACATATGGCAGTCACC